TTGGGGAAGGCCTTTGTCCAGCAGTGGACGTCACTGCGACGAGTATTTTACAAAAAAATTTAAGAGGAAAGATTGATTCTTTTTTTGGTATTGTTGAATAAGATCCGAAAATATTGGACCGATATGAAAAAAATACTTTTTCATCATTGAAATTTAGAATATCTATTAGGTAGGTGGATTACTAATGTTTGGCCAAAAAACGTTTCCCAAATTATCACATCGCAAACAACGTTTCGCAAATTTTCATTTGGCAAATTCTCATTTGGCAAAACAACTTATAGCAAACTTTTAATTCGCAAATGTCGTTTTTGGCATATTATTATTTAGCAAATTATTGTTTGGCAAAGTATGTTTTGCCAAATGTTTCATTTGGCAAAAATATTTCTCGATAAACTATTTACAAAATAATTTGATTGGTGCATAGAATGGAATACAAATTAGCTTGTGGTTATTATTTTGTTTAGTGGGTAGTTAATATAAAATTTGTTCTAAATTAATTTTCTTATTTCATTCTTTTTATCGAAATTTCCAAATGATTCATTAACAATAGAGGTGATTCTCATAGGGTCACTGTTCTAACCTAACCTAACGTACTATTTTCTGCAATACCTACTTTTTGCAACCATACTATTTTCTGCTATCTCTTTGTTTTACATAAAATTCTTGTCAAAACCACGATCATGTGCCTTATGCTTTGATTTGTGGGTAACGGTGGGTAAGTATCTGAAGTGTCAATTTGACCAAACAAATTATTTGGGATATAATATTTGGCAAAATAAAACATTTGCTATATAAATATTTGCCAAGTAAAATTTTGCCAAATGATAATTTGACCAAATGAATTAGTTGCGAAAAGTACAGTTGCTAAAAGTTCATTTGGGAAACGAAACATTGGCGATAAGTTGTTTGCGAAGTGAAATTTGGCGAAAAGTAATTTGGCCAAACGGAAGGATACCAGGTAGGTACATTATTTCTGATGAACATAGGCATCAAGTGTGCAGGCACGTTAATGATAGCAATTAAGTAAGTAATTGATATTTAATTTGGTACACAATATAAGGGCATTGACCTTTTTGTTTACCAGCACCTATTGTCAATTTAACTAGCATACCCACTTTGTCTAGATTTAACAACTTGTGTAGGTATATAGTTAAAAATCTTTAGTTTTGACCGAGATTAAGAGAACAAGAATAGCATTTCGCATTTTAATCAAACCGGGAAGGGATCGTAACCGTATCAACTCGAGGTGGTCAGTATTCTTTATGAAACTCCTTACTGCAACCACAAAATGCAACGCACTTATCCGCACCGTAACGTAAACGCCTCGCCTCGCGGTTGAAAGCGCGCGAAAGCTGATGACAGCTCGCGTAACGCGATACAGTGTTGATCACTTTCCGAGTTGATAAGTCTGCTATGATTAGGCACAAAAATACTGTCGAAACATTCTTACCTCAAAAAGTGCTATCTTCTCCGATACTGACTTCTTCCTCGGTCGTTCCTTTGGGTTGATAACATCCTTCTTCTCCACACTTCTGTCCACAGACTTCATCCTTACAATCAAATCTTGCACTTTACCCTTCACCGCATCGCCTAAGTCTAAATCAGCTGTAGATTTTGCTTTCTTCAAATTGTCCTGTGATCTCGCTTTGTAAGCATTTATTACATCTTCCGTGCTCATCATAGTGTCTATTTTTCGATTATTGCTGTTGTTTTTATGAGATTTGGGTGTAAAATCGAATGGCGATTCCTTTGGGTCTCTTCTTATATTTTGATACTTAGGTTTGTTGTTTTCTTTTGCTAGATTTACTTTAGGTTCAAGCACATCATTCAAAGGCGCAGCGTACTCAATTTCGGTGGATGTTAAAGATTTTATTTCAATTTCGTTAGGTTTTTCGTATGTTAGAGAGCTATCAGGAGAGTAGTCCACTTCAAAGGAATAGTATCTGTTTGGTAAATGCTTTTTTACTCTCTCGTCTCTTGATAAATTTAAAGGAGACACATCTATAACTTCACTTATCAATTCAACCTGCACGGTTTCATTTTCCGGTATATTTTCTTCTACTGCAGTTGACACTGCAACTTCTTCTGTTTTAATTTCCATTCTAGATATTCTCAAGTTATCATTATTGAATGTGTTGTTATTAACTTCATAATAAGGTTCATTTTTGGCTGGTTTATCTACAGTTTTGATGATTTCGCTGACTATGACTGGCTTTGAACTAATATGATCTTCACTAGGCTCAAAATGTGGGACTTTACTCGTTGGAGGAGCTGGTTTTCTATGTAAGTCGTCATCAACATCTTGAGTGGTTTTAGAGGCACTTGTTTCAAGATCTTCTTGTTCTTCGGCTAGTCTGCGTCTGTATGCACACCGCACTGCTGGTTTTGGTCTGATACCAGCTTGAGATTTATCATCTGGACGTTGCTGCTGTAAAAAAAGATAATAAAAATAGTTAAAATCGTTTTTTCCACTATAGTCTGGTCCGGGAGCACGTAGAATTTTGTCCAATGACCCCAGGCAACCCATCCTTATCGCTCGCGCGTAATTATATTGCTGTCGCGACTGTGCGACGGGCGGCCACAGTGAGTGTGCGAGGGCGACAGCAACGTAATTACGCGCGAGCGATAAGGATGGGTAGCTTGGGGTCATTGGACAAAATTCTACGTGCTCACAGACCGGGCTTTAGATGAAATCAGTTATAATATTACAGTTTTCAGTAGTAACAGTAACCAAAGTACTCTTATAAGACTTTCCATTCGTAGATCGTAAGGGTAATCTCCATCAATAGCTAGGCTTTTGTGGCTTTTTATTTCATAAAATAGAAAAACTATGAATTTATTAATATTCATATCATTTAAGAGTTGATCTTTCTAATTTATCAACCAATTTTAACTAACTAATATCAGTATAGTAATTAATTCTTACCTCAAACATAGCAATTTTGGACAACACCGATTTATATTTAACACCGTTGTCTTCTTCATCATTTGATTCTTTCTTTGGTTCTGGTTTAACGGTTTTTCGTAAAACTGGCTTAGTAAACTCTTTTTTATTTTCTACGTCTGAAGTAGTCCCTGAAACATCTTTTTCTATTCTAAGTATGTCTTTAGGTGCACTAATAACTTCGTTATTATTGTGATGTGTAGATCCATTTGTATACTTTTCCATGATAGGTTTAAATTTATCGTTTTCTTTTGTTTTTTCTTGAATTAAATTCTGAAACCGGTCCATAGATATAACTGTGATAGGATCGACTGGTGTTTTGTTTTCAGTTACATTATCTGCCTTATTTACATCTACTTTTGGTTCATATTCGGTCGCCTCCTCAATTTCTATGGCACTGCTTTGTAGTTCGACTATTGTTGGCGATTCGATTACTTCTACAATGTACGGTAGTGAATTTTCGCTATTTGGACTGATTGTTTCCAAGACTGGTGACATTTCGACTATTTCAACACTCGATTCTATTGGTTCACCAGCACTTACGTTGTCAATGTTTATAAAGTTATCTGGACTGATATCCTGTTCCATTGATACTTGAACGATATTTTCTATTTGCAATTCATGTTTTGGTCCATCCCTAGTCACGCTTTTGACTCTTTGGTATGTGGTTTTTAATTTCACATTATCATCAACATTTTTCTTAGTCACAGCTATTCTTGAAGGTTTTATATCGCTAGCTTCTTTAGCTTTAGCCACTGAATCTCGTACTTTATTCTTATCACCAGAAGGAATACTTTTGCTGTCCATTTGTACACTTTTGGGGACTTCAATTTCCGCTTCACTCTTGCGTTTGAGCATCGGAATTTTTGACTGCTTCTTCTTTTCAACACTAACATTATTGTCGCTGTGATTTTGTGGCTTGTCTACATCAATTAATTCTGCTTTCTTCTCATCGTACGCATGTATTATTTCCTCAAAACAATCTTCGACTTTCTCAGGGTCATCAACTTTGTTGTTTAGTAAGCTAATGTCTATATCGGTAGGGCTGTCAGCTATTTCTCCGTAAAGTCTTTCGAATTCGTCTTCAGGCTTGGGGGAGGGAGCTTTGGGCTTCAGTCTGGGGATTGAAGAGCGACGAAGAAGGTTTGGCTGGGCCTGGAATGATACGTAATTTTGTTATTAGTGTGTACCTATCTAATTACTCCGTTACTAAGAGGAGATCCGCCGTCCGAGAACCAAAGTGACCGACATAGCTCGCAGAATTGCTAAAATCAAGTGGCAGTGGGCGGGGCACATAGCTCGTAGAGACGATGGCCGTTGGGGCAAAAAAGTTCTCGAGTGGCGACTACGGGCTGGAAGACGTAGCGTGGGCAGGCCTCCTACTAGGTGGACCGACGATCTGGTAAAGGTCGTGGGAAGAGCCTGGATGTAAGCGGCGCAGGATCGGTCTTTGTGGAAATCCTTTGGGGAGGCCTTTGTCCAGCAGTGGACGTCTTTCGTCTGAAACGAACGAACGAAAACCTATCTAATTACGTCTAGGTAGGGCCCCCACTAGGTGGACCGACGTTCTGGTGAAGGTCGTAATGTTCACGAAGCTTCAGTGTTACGTCCGTGATTGCCGGTCCGTGACCGAACTGAGCGTACACGTTGACGGAACTGTGGCTTCACTTTATACAGTGTGAATCGACCATTACCCTCTTTTTCGTCGGATAGTCGGGTAGATACAGCTCCAATGACAAAAATATCTTTCACTTAGTTAACATAGTAGTAACTTCTTACAGGGACGTCCACCTACAAGGAAATAAGATCTCATAAAAGTTCGGAAGGCGCTGGATGCAAGCCCCTACCAATCAATCTGGAAATCATTGGGGGAGGCCTATGTTCAGCAGTGGACGTCCTGTGGCTGAAATGATGATGAGAACTTCTTACCTCCGCCTTTTTAGCCGGCATAGACCTCTCCCTCCTCACTCTGTTGACAGCATTCTTGAATCTAGTTGGAATCCTGGTTTTCCTCTCTTCTGGTTCCATCTTTCTGATTGGTGAGTCAGGGATGACGTCAGAATAGATGGGAGGGTAGGACGGTGCTTTTATTGTGTGGAATACGCCATTGCGTATCTCCTGGAAAGATAGCAAAAGATTTAAGATTAGAGAGAATCATTTGGATTCTTTGGTTCGATTCCCGGCCGGGCAGAAATTGAAATGATGAATTTTAATTTCTGTGACGGGTCTGGGTGTTTTCTATGTATAATATTATGTATGTATTTACAAAAAAAAGTATATAAGTATATTTATCCCGTCGTCTAGTACCCATAGTACAAGCTTTGCTTAGTTTGGGGCTAGAAGCGCACAGTGTAAAATGTCCAAGGATATTTATTATTATTTCTTTATTTCTTTCTTCTTCTTTTAAGTTTTAGCGCTTAAAACTCAGTCTGTGCCTGAGGCATGGGAGCGGCACGGGAGGGGTGGCATTGACATTATTATGATGTGACAGAGCATAGAAATCAGCCCCCCTAGACAAAACGCACTTTTTGATCGAATCGAAAATCGAATCCGTCAAAACTCCATACAAAAAAGGGGCTTTTCGACCACTTTTCGACTGGTTTGCGATTATAATTTGCACTTTGTCTAGACCCACTGAAGTATAATTAAGTCTCACTGACGTTTGACGTCCCAAAAAGCTTCTAAAGCCTGGTCCGTGAGCACGTAGAATTTTGTCCAATGACCCCAAACTACCCATCCTTATCGCTCGCGCGTAATTATATTGCTGTCGCGACTGTGCGACGCGCGCCCGCAGTGAGTGTGCGAGTGCGGGCCCGGGGGAACCAGTGGGTTATGTAAGGCTCTCCCTGCCAGATGGGCAGGGCCTACTCACTAAAACCTGACGGTGTCCTCCCGAAGTCTTTGGGACGGTGCTGCGAGTTATTGTCCGAGCTAGATGGCCTAGACATTCTTTCGCGGCTCCGCCCCAGACTGTGGCTCGCTCTGTTGGAGCAAGCGACGACTGGNTCAGGCTTAGGGGAGGGAGCTTTGGGCTTCAGTCTGGGGATTGAAGATCGACGAAGAAGGTTTGGCTGGGCCTGGAATGATACGTAATTTTGTTATTAGTAAATGTACCTGTCTAGGGTAGGGCCCCCACTAGATGGACCGAAAATCTGGTGAAGGTCGCAGAAAGTGGCACGACTGGTCGTTAAGGAGATCCTTGGGGGAGACCTTTGTCCAGCAGTGGACGTAATGCACATACATGTCGAAGAGAAAAGAGAACTCTGTTCACGAAGCTTCAGTTTTACTTGACTGACTGAACTTAGCGAACACGTTGACAGAACTGTGGCTTCACTTTAATGTGTGAATCGACCATTACCCTCTTTTTCGTCGGATAGTCGGGTAGATACAGTTCCAACGATAAAAAATATCTTTTACAAGTTCTCATAGTGCTTACTTAATTCTTACAAGGACGTCCACCTACAAGGTGAAAATACGACCCCATAAAAGTAGCAGTTAGGCACTGGATGCAAGCCCCTACCAATCAATCCGGAAATCATTGGGGGAGGCCTATGTTCAGCAGTGGACGTCCTGTGGCTGAAATGATGATGATGGACTTCTCACCTCCGCCTTTTTAGCTGGCATAGACCTCTCCCTCCTCACTCTGTTGACAGCATTCTTGAATCTAGTTGGAATCCTGGTTTTCCTCTCTTCTGGTTCCATCTTTCTGATTGGTGAATCAGGGATGACGTCAGAATAGATGGGAGGGTAGGACGGTGCTTTTATTGTGTGGAATACGCCATTGCGTATCTCCTGGAAAGATGGCAAAATATTTAAGATTAGAGAGAATCATTTGTATTCTTTGGTTCGATTCCCGGCCGGGCAGAAATTGAAATGATGAATTTTAATTTCTGTGACGGGTCTGGGTGTTTTCTATGTATAATATGTATTTACAAAAAAAAAGTATTGTGTAAATCGTTACGACGAAGTGTTTATCCCGTCGTCTAGTACCCATAGTATAAGCTTTGCTTAGTTTGGGGCTAGAGGCGCACAGTGTAAAATGTCCAAGGATATTTATTATTATTTCTTTATTTCTTTCTTCTTCTTTTAAGTTTTAGCGCTAAACTTAGTCAGTGCCTGAGGTATGGGAGCGGCACGGGAGGGGTGACATTGACATTATTATGATGTGACAGAGCATAGAAATCTGAAGCATAATTAAGTCTCACTGACGTTTGACGTCCCAAAAAGATTCTAAAGCCTGGTCCGTGAGCACGTAGAATTTTGTCCAATGACCCCAAACTACCCATCCTTATCGCTCGCGCGTAATTATGTTACTGCCGCGCTCGCACACTCACTGCGGGCGCGCGTCGCACAGTCGCGACAGCAACATAATTACGCGCGAGCGATAAGGATGGGTAGCTTGGGGTCATTGGACAAAATTCTACGTGCTCACGGACCAGGCTTTAGTGCCGCTCCCATACCTGACTGATTTGAGTGCTAAGCCTTTAAGATTCAACCACACCAACGCGTGCAGATCGCCGTCGCCGGCGCGATCATAGGCCAATGACAGGTTGCGCGACCCATGACAGTGCCTGTCATTGGCCTATGATCGCGTCGGCAATGGCAACGCGTTGGTGTGGTCGAAGCCACAGAATAATAATGTACTACGTACAGAAGTTTTACTTCGCGAAGGTATTTAAAAAAATGTATGCTCAATGTCATTAACAATACGGTGTAATTTAGCCTGTCTCAAGAGTCAAGCACCATTTTGTTGACAAACGTCAGTGATCGCCACTGCGCCGAAGATGTGACGNTGTGCTTGAGGCAACTTAAAAAAGTACATTCTGTGTTTTTATTATTATTTAGGCAGTTAAATAATGCACAGTATTTAGTACACCATTTTCTTTATTTTCTTCCATCACACAAGAATACGCGTGCGTGAGTCAATGTTCGCTCGTATGTGAGGCCTTGTCGAATAGTATCCTGTAGGTGGGCCATCGTGCGTGTTTTGTTTTCGATGTAAACTCGCGGAGATGAACAGGCCTGTTGAAGCTTAATATCATCATCAGGTCATTTAGTCTCCACTGCAGGAGTACGACCCTCTCTAATTGACCAGAGGCAAATGGAGGATTTGTCCTACACTCCCCACGCTGGCCAGACGGGTTGGGGAGACCTGATGTCCGCATATTTGTCCCTTAGTCGCCTCTAACTACATCCACGTCAAATTGAGGTCGGTTCTATTCTATTCTATAGGATGTAGTCGATAACGACAGTTTAATAATCATAGTTTTTTGAGTTCAACTTCTGTAACTTTAATTTTAACGTACATCCATGCATGCATGCATGCCCATGCTGAGGAGTGCATTACCGCAGCAAAATTTTTATAAATGTTGTGCTTTAGAGAGTCGAGAGTATAGCAGATAATTAGTCCATCGTGAGCAGAAATTTGTCCACTAATAGCAAAATTTGGACATATCAAGGTCTATCATTGGTATTTTTTTCAAACTTCTGCGTTGAGCCATTTACGAGATCTGGGACATCACAAAACATTACCCCAGCAAAATTCTGAATAACTTGAGAACCGAAACACGAACAAATTTTGCTATTCGTGGACAAATTACTACGCAACAAAAGCTATCTATCCATGTATTTGGTTCCGGGATTAAACGACTTTTCAAAAAAAAAATTTTGCCAGGGTAATGTTTCAAACATTATCCCAGCAAAATCTGTTTTTTCGTAATAACTTTAAAACTATAATTTGAACGAATTTTGCTATTAGTGGACAAATTTCTGCTCACGATGGACTAATCAATTATCTGTTACTCTCGACTCTCTAAAGCACAACATTTTTAAAAATTTTGCTGCGGTAATGCACTCCATGCTGAGTCAATTTTTATTCAGAATAGTTAGTAAAGAGCTGTGTGTGTTTATTTACATCAAACGGATTCACTAGTGAGCGCGTTATAAAAATAAATGAAAATTTAAGTTCTTGAAAGTTTCCGCTAGGGGCGCTGTACAATCCGTCATACATTGAATGTAATTTTTTTTCGCGCTCACTACTTAGTGAGGAGGTTTGATATAAACTCGCACTTCACCCCCAGTAAATACCTAAACCTCCTTCGTTATAACCACATGAAGGTTAACTTTGAAAACCATTTACCTAACTGTTGTTTTAAACTATTTTGTGTTTTGATGGTTTGCTTACTTGACTACCACACCAGATATGGTCGGTTTACAAATTCTTTGTGTACCTACCTATTAGATTATGTACACTATTTCTTTTTAAATAGGTACTTAACTACCTCAATTCCCCGTGACAATACCTACTAGGTATTACCTAGGTAGTTAGGTATTGTCACTCATCAAGCTTTAAGAAAAAGTCGTAACGATTTAAACGATTTATTTTACATTTAGGGATTAAATAAAAACAAAATGAGCAGTTCACAAACTTTTATTAATACTTGTACTCAAATTTCTGGACTTGGGTTATCACAGTTTTGCCGGGAAGTGTTTGTTTTTTGAACAAATGCTGGAAACTTACCGAAACGTTCTCTGTGACTGTCACTTTTTGAAGCTTCATATCTCCTTTAGTGAAAGTCGCTTCATTTTTAGTTACTGTCACAACTGGAGCTAAAACGTAGTCTTCGCGGTCGTCGATGTTATTTTCATCCCAAATAGTTGGTTTTTCAATGGCAGAGGAATCGCGGAGTTTTTGCTCGGTTGGCACTTCTGATTCCACATTTTCGGGCGCGGTGTACTCGAATTTGTACTTTATATCCGCCATTGGTGGTCTGAAATTGTTAATACACATGCACAGATTATAGAAATGAATAAAATTCAAACTTACTGGCAGTAAAGAAAGAAAAAAAACAAAAGAAATAGAAAATATTGATACTGGCAACAGTGGCAACGCTTAGGCAAGTCACAAAGAAAAAAATCGGAAAAAATTGGAGAAAATGGGAAAATGCTAAAATATAGTACCTACAAAAAAATAAAACAACGAAGAAAAAAACATCTTATAAGAGGAAAAAGACAAAATAAATTTTATGAGTTTGCATCATGTTTTTTATTAATTGTCCCTTATAACCTTAATACAAACAAAACATTGTGCCATCAGTCTTGTAATGTTTATCCTTCCTTATCAATTTATCAATATTATCGGTAAGATATCAACTGATATTGGAAGAAGTGCATTAATGCACAACAATTTAGTCAGCTATTGAGAAGAAACCTCTTGTCATGTTTTTTCAGACAGCAATTTTATTAATATTCAACAAATTCAGTATTTAATCTTTCCTATTTTGCAAAGTGTAAATTGTAATAAAATTATTGTAAAAAATGTGTTTTTTAAAACTGGCAGCGCCATCTGTTAGGAACGCAGTGAACTGCTTGAACAAAGGTGCATCAAAATAGGAAAAATTAATTAAATGTGCATACTAATTCAAAATATTACTTATTATAATCGAGCAATCAAAATTATATGGCTTAATTTAAAAGTAAAAGTTCAAAGACAGAGACAGTTTTAATTCTTCAAAATATAGTGAAAATGAGAGTTGACAGACCCCACCAAGAGATGGCGCTAAACACTAGTTTTAAAAATAAAACAAAATGCAAAAAAAATACTTACGGGAGCAAATACTTCAATAGCCTGCTATGCACGACGGTGTCCGACGAATTAATAGCTTGTTTATCATTTAGATAAGGTTCTGACATCATTACTTTATTGATAACGCGATCGCTAAAATGTTCATGTGTTTTTATACAAAATATTTTATTATACGGGACTAATCCCACCTGTCGTTTACGCCACTGCAACTCCTGTGTAGCCAGGATCTACAGCTTGACCGCCAATAACCCAACCAGTGAAGGTCAAGTTTATCCCGGGGGAAAGTTAAACTGTCATTGGACCCGCAACGAAACTAGTCAGAAGAACATAGGAGTTCGAAGTTAAGGTTCGACTTTCTTCCATNCCTTCCAGTGCAAAGCGTGACAGGTTTAAGATATAATTTTACAGTAAATTGAAAATTAACTCAATTTACAGGAGTAGTAAAGTCCTTTTTTGAAGAAGTTGTGGCTTGTAAGTAGGTATTAAGGTAGCACACTTAACAACCCGGAATGGGATCGTAACCGTATCAACTCGAGGCCGTCAGTATTCTTTGTAAGAAACTCCATACTGCAACGCACACTAAGAGTAGGCGCACACCGTTGATTTTTCGTCGGCCGATAGTTTAGTCGGGCAGTTGATCAGTATGGGCATGTATAGGGAGTGCGCACACTACGCCGATTCGATTTGGCCGATTCTTCATACAATTTACAATCGGGCACAACTATCGGCCAACTAAAAATCAACGGTGTGCGCGCCTACTTATCCGCACCGTAGCACCGTAGCCTCGCGTTTGACAGCGCGCGAAAAGCGATGACAGCGCGCGAAAGGCGATACTGTGTTGATCCCTTTCCGAGTTGATAAGTCTGCTATAAGAACTATGATCCCCCCAATCTAGGAGTGTAGGCCAATCCTCCATTTGCCTCTGGTAAATTAGAGGGGCTCCTGCAGTGGAGACTGAATGTCCTGATGATGAGGGAACAACTGTCAGTTTTTTTCCTACGTCATGTCACGCCACTGTAGTTTGACAGATGCTATATTTCCTCAATGAATATTGTAGTGACATGTCTATCGCTGGAATAATTTATTAGCTTGTAATCTTACTGATATCGAAAGATAAGCGGTTTACATAATAAAACTTGTAAAATTGTAATTATAGTTTAATCATTTTGTGTAAGGTTCGATCATATTTTTTTCGTTCCTTCCTTTCTGCCAAATGACGTCCACTGCTGGACAAAGGCATCCCCCAAGGATTTCCACAACGATCGGTTCTGCGCCGCCCGCATCCAATCACCTTCTTCACCAGATCGTCGGTCCACCTAGTGGGGGGCCTGCCCACACTAAATCTTCCGGCTCGTGGTTTCCACATTTTTTTTGTGAACTATAGTTTAATTAATGGGTGTAAAAAAAACTTATCTTGAAACTTATGTGTTTTACAAAGTTTTATTTGAGGACACACAAAATTTAAATGGTTTGGGAGTTGAACAATTTAAAACTTAGTATAAAAAACATTTAGACCTAAGGAATATACCGGAATTCTATTACACTGCCACCACGTTCAATTCCTGGCTAGCTAAGTCAACAATGTTAGCAGCTGTTTTGACATTTAAAGGTAAGAGAGTCGGCCTATATTTTACCTGATGGCAAGTGATGATCAGGCCGAAGGTAGAAGCCAGCTTCACCCGGAATCCTCAACCACAGAGGAACTAGCTGTCTTACAACTAAGTAGGTGTAACCAGGAGGACTTGGAATAAGCCCTATCAACCAAACCGAGCAGATTTTTTTTAGCTAAGTATCTATTTTAAGTAAAAGCGAAAGGTCACTGATTGACTGACTGACATAGAGATCTATCAACGCACAGCCTAAACCACTGGACGGATCGGGCTGAAATTTGGCATGCAGGTAGATGTTATGACGTAGGCATTCGCTAAGAAAGGATTTTACGAAACTCTACCCCTAAGGGGGTAAAACGGGAGGCACGCGTACGAAGTCGCGTCGTCGTATGGTGTTTACCGGTTAATTATTTGCCTTAAGTAAATCTCAGAAAAGTAGACCTAATTTCAATGCGCTAGTTAATACATACATTTCAGTTTTGTAGACACAAAACTCAAGTTTCTTAAACACTACACCAATAAATTATTTCACATCACACAGGTCAAATGTCATCACGATTATTCAATCCAAAATACAATACAATAGTCCATATTCTTTCACAACATATGAAAACCGAAAGTCTACGTACTTATTGAAAGTATTTTTATAACTAAACCCCATATCTCATGCCCGGTTGATAAGGATTGATAATTATTGATTGTAGTGATAAATTCGTACACCTAAAGAATAGATAATGTTCAGTAGGTCTACTACAATGTATAATCATCATCAGGTCATACAGTCTCCACTGCAGGACTACGACCCTCTCTAATTTCATCATCAATCATCAACAGCCCTTTACAGTCCACTGCTGGACTATGAGCCTCCTCCACAATAGTGGAGGGTTTTGCCATAATCTCCACGCTTGGCAGGCGGATTGGAGATCGCAGTTTAAAAGATTGATGTTTTTCAGAGAGCGCTGCTGCCCGTTCTCTGTTTGATGTGTAGTCCCTAAGTCGCCTCTTACGACACCCGCGGGAAGAGTAGGGGTTGGTGTTAAATGTATTCTACTCTGCCGTCACCACACGGCTCTCTAATTTACAAGGCAAATGGAGGATTTGTCCTACACTCCCCACGCTGGCCAGACGAGTTGGGGAGGCCTGATGTTCGCTTATTTATCCATTAATTTTACAAAGAACTTGAAGCTACTTTTGTTTTCTTCATTGTGGTTGAGATAGCAATAGACAAGTTCGACAAAAATGTATTATTTCTATGAGTCAGATCACTATAAAAGGCAGTGGCTCAAAGATTTTTTGGATTGAGTTCTTGTCTGCCTAAATTATAAAATTTAATGTCTTATGCTTGATTCCAATGATTGCCATAAAGATCGGTTGGTAGCGGCCTGCATACAGCGCCTTCCTGCTACCTTTTTGAGGTCGGTCCACCTTATGGGTAGACGTCCTACGTGGTCCTACGCTGCGCTTTCTGGTACGTGGCCTCCACTCCAGAACCTTGCTACCCTATGGATAGATCAATAGATTTTTAGTTGCTTACACTTACATTTATTAATAACTATGTAAGGTGTGACTAATGCTCATTTTCACCATCAATCTCTAATTTTTAAGTGACCCCTATGGTAACACATAGCAGGAATTTTCTTTTCAAAGCGGTCACTTAAAAATTAGGGATTGGTGGTGAAAATGAGCATTATTCACACCTTACATAGTTATTATTTAAGGTGTAGGTAAGCAACTAAAAATCTATTGGTCTATCCATAGGGTAGCAAGGTTTAGGAGTGGAGGCCACGTACCAGAAAGCGCAGCGTAGGACGTCCACCCAAAAGGTGGACCGACCTCATAAAGGTAGCAGGTCGGCGCTGGATGCAGGCCGCTACCAACAGATCTTTATGGCAATCATTGGGGGAGGCCTATGTTCAGCAGTGGACGTCCTGTGACTGAAATGATGATGATGACCAACTTACTATTTTTAGGAATTGCACATAATTTAACTTTTGATTTTATTTTAGTAAGTCTACGAGTTAACCAAAGAGTATTTATCAGAAGCATGTATTAGGTAGGTACCTAAATAAGTAATCGTGAAAAAAATTGATAAATTTCAATTTCGCGTCTACCAACAGAAGACAGCCTGTTGAACTGTATAGCCTTGGTTTACATGGATGTAAGAATTAAAAAATTATAAGTTTCTTACTTTTCTGCAGGGCACATATCGTCGCTTGCCTCTCTAACTGACGTATCTGACATTTTTTTCGAAACTGAGTTATCTACACCATCTTAATCAATTTCGCAAGACGAATCGATCTGTCTAATCCTAAAAATATTGAAAAATGTCAGTTACGTCAGTTAGAGAGGCAAGCGACGATATTATGCAGAACTGACGGCCGATGGGGCAGCAAGGTCCTGGAATGGAGGCCGCGTACCGGAAAACGCAGCGTGGGACGTCCACCCACAAGGTGGACCGACGACATCATAGCAGACGCTGCTGCCCATCTCGTGCTACTGGATTTAGTCACCTCTTAGGACACGCCTGTTGGCGGAGGCGAATGGTATTCTTTCCAGGAGTCCCCACACGGCACTATGTTCAGCAGTGGATGTAGAATATAGAATAGAATAGAATATTGTTTATTTGGCACAATACAATAGGCAGAATACAAAATAAAACATACAATATAGAACTAAAAACCCAAATTAAAATAAAGAGTGCCCTGTGCCAGAAAGGTCCCTGGCTCAGCATTAGTCGTGGTGACATTAAAGGTGCCACGACACTGATTTTCAGCAAGGACCTTTGGGGCACTGGGGTCGCCGTAAAAAATTAAAAACAAACACACAGATTACCTATGACAGAAATACAGACAGTAAAAATCATGAAACAATCAATTATATAAAATAAAAATAAAAAAGTTCTAAAAGTGCAAAATGTACAATAAAGATGACCCACGCTGAACCATTCCATCAAACTCAATGACAGGGGGGCGCCACAATCGCTCAACTATACCATATTATGGTTTCCAACATGTCCTGTCATTCTTACCTTCAATGTTTGACATATGATTTAACTGAGGAGATACTTGTAGCACCTATGTAACCTAAGTTTTAACCTAAGTATTCTTAAAAATCGTATTTAATAAAGCTAATTGTTAATTTATTTAATTACTATTTAACGTGTGAGCTTTTTTCGCCTGAAACACAGGTTTTTAACCTAGCTCAGGCTACAAAAGACTAGTAATTATATGTAAACTCTAGCATAATAAGTTCTTATAATGCCCTTGTTTTAATGAATAAACTATTTATTTATTTATTTTATTTATTTATTTATTCTGTGATTGGTATATTGGACGTCTTTTGGTTGAAATAAATGAGTTATTATATGATTTATGTCGAAGAATGCCGCCATGTAACCCCAGCGTGGAAACGTGCGGGGTATTATCCTTACTTCGTGACCTCCTGCCCTCTCAGCAAAGATTAGTCAGTGAACAGATGCGACTATTTGGTAGTATTCTACCTAAACGTGAACAGATGCGACTATTTGGTAGTATTCTACCTAAACTATGAATTCATGATGCGATATGATCTGGATTTTGAAAAAACAAAGCACGTGATTGATCCTAAAAACATCTTTATTTAAGTAGAAGGTATTATTTAAATTTTATATAGTAATTTAAAGAGCTAAGAAAAGGGTCGTGCTCTCTCAGTTAAGACCAAAATAAATAGGATCGCGATTCAAGCGGTCAAAACCTCAATTTTTATTTTAAACACAAGCATATTAGTTGCTTACTTTGGCGTTAAATATAGCGCTGTCCGAAGATATTTAAAAAATACTTAATTGCACCAAAAAAATTGCCGTATTCTCTACCAGTTGACTTTTGAGCCAAACAGAAAATATTGAGTAACTAGCTTTCCGCCCGCGGCATCGCCCGCGTGGAATTTTGTCTGTCGCAGAAAGACTATCGCGCGCGTCCCTGTTTCAAAAACCGGGATAAAAACTATCCTATGTCCTTTCTCGGGACTCAAACTATCTCTATGCCAAATTTCATCAAAATCGGTTCAGTGGTTTAGGCGTGAAAGTAAGACAGACAGACAGACAAGTTAGCAGAGACAGAATTTTTATTTTTTTATTTAGGCATAATACTTCATGTTAGTGTTATTTAATCTTTGTCCCACCGCCCTCGACATCTCAATAGAAGCCACCACCCCCATTAAGAGGGGGATACCAATTTTATTCATAGTAGATCCATTATTGTGATCATCTTCACGTCTTCACCAAGAAATGGTTTCGATCTGAATGGTGTCTGGAATCTAGATATTTTTAGAACTTAGTAATAAGGAGGAGTTTTATTAAGAAAATCCCTTTGAAAAAAAGGATAATACATAAAGTAAATGATTATTTATATGACAAGAGTGCGTGGATTTTACCCGCTTAGCTCGCACTAAAATGTATTATGCTTAATGTATGTATAAGTATTATTTTGCTGTATCTCATTGAAAATGAGGCTGACAAAGGTGACTGATGCCCGATTTTACCATCTGAAATTTTTAAGTGATCCCTATGATAACAATTAATAATAATATGAACTTTGTTTTCATAGGGGTCACTTAAAAATTACAGATTGATGGGATTGTTCCGCCTCTTCTCAGCACCAGCCATGTTGTCCCGAAGTGGTGGTAGGGCAAACTATATTTGGGACGTGTATAAGTGCCTTGGAAAGGGTCTAAGTACTGAACTGTACTGAATAAAAAACTCTGACTTTGACTATGATTTTTCAGTATGAAATATGAATGAATAGGTCCATTTTCAGCTTGACCCACGGTCCAAGTCGTCGGATGGAAATACCTGCCTTGTCTGCATAAAAAAATCAACTCGCACAAACGACGTTCGCGTTCGTATTCACAAACGATGCTTGCTTAAGTGAAGCAGCAAATCAAACGCACAGCGTTGAATAGAGCTCTGTGATTGGTTCGTGTGACACTGTGCGTCCACGCGCACTGTGAGACCTCCTAGTAATGTTTGTGAATACGGGCGTAAAGGTCAAAATACCATGAATATAAAATTTTCCGTACTTTACAAGTGTAAAATATTCTAGATAGCAAATAGTTTTCCAATTCAGTAAACTCTACACGCTGAGAACGCCTCTCGAACTGCTATTCAGTTGAAAATGTGAAAAATTGATGCATATTCTAACACTTTTCTGGAAAAGATTCAGTCTGTGTGAAATAAATACTTATTTGAGTTTACAAAAGTTCTAAAATCTTTCATTTTAATGAGGGTTTTCGCGTATGAAAAATCCGCCAGATGGCAATACACGGTAGACGCGAGGTCCAAATGCTGCATGATTGGTTATTTTTAACATGACATTGACAGATGTCAAAATCCACCATTCACGCAGCACTCAGACCCCACATCCACGTCCCGCCATCTAGCGGATCTTTCATACGCGAAAACCCTCATTGGATGATGATGAAGTGTTATTAGGTAACAATTCAAGTATTTTATTCAAGGGCGGAAGACGTAGTATGGGCAGGCGTCCCACTAGGTGGACCGACGAACTGGTGAAGGTCGCGGGAGGTCCCTGGATGCGGGCAGTGCAGGACCGTTCGTTGTGGAAATCCTTGGGGGAGGCCTTT